AATCGCCGGATCCGTGGGTACGTCTACACAGCGATTTTTATTACATTGTTGTAACGTTCGTCGCGACATCAGGATCCTTTAACGGCGACATAAAAATTGTTGACGAAGCAGCACTTTGTACGCGGAAAAAATAAACGAGCTACCTGTGTTTGGTCTGTTCCCCGCGATCGATACGTCGATGATAGATATCGTGGGCATCCTTCTACCCAAAAACAGCGTCCGTCCGTCGTAATTTCGGCATAGCGATTCCGGGACAGTTATGTGAAGGTTGTACAACTGTTGCACTTTACATCATCCAATTACAAAGAGACCACCCACGCAATGATCGCATGCAAACAGACGGAATCGCGGGGGTCGTGTTTGTTCGAATCCGCTAAACAACGCACGGAACGCGACGATTCCTCCGGCGAGAGCTGGTCTCGTCGACGTTACATCCGCAGTACGTCACAGAACACACGACGACGTCTCTACTTGCGCTGTTGCCACTAGCAAGGTTTCACCAATCAGCTTATTTTCGAGTAATTGAAGGGCGTCTGGTCGTGGAAGGCTGTGCACTACCGAACGCCAACCTTCAGGGACGATGAGAACGACTTTGCCGACGTTTGGAGTCGCTTAACGCGCGCCGACAGCACTGTCAAGGATCCATGGACTGAATAGTAAGTCTTGGGAACCATGTGAAACAATTGCACAGCCAATATCTAAGTTTCTCATTGTTTAATCCGCTAAATTTCTACCAAAGTTGATTGTTGTGTTTTTTACTTCGATACATAGAGTTCGATGTCGTTACGCTTATGAAGTCATTTAAAGATAATTCACGATGTCGATCAAGAAGCTCAAGTGTAAAAAGAACCACCAGGAAACGTTTAATCGGCGTTCGATCACTGTCCCGCTCACGAATATCGCGGCGGGAAACTAGTTTACGTCGTAGGAGTGCGTCACAGCAAATTCCGGGATTTTTTCCCCCCTTTTCCTCCTTTCCGTCGGCCGCAAATATGTCCGGCAGCAGTAGCCGGTGCGAGTCGCACCTGCGGTTATTGAATCGAACGGACAGGTACGCATTAGGCTCGGTCCACGTGTTCCGCGCGCTAGACAAGCCGGCATGCGAGTGATACCGCGCCATTTCAGAACAGAAAAACGAGAGAAGGGGAAAAAAGACTCGCGGTGGAAATTAATGGAACTGTTCCCTGCCGTCGAATACTTCGGAATGCGAAAGCTAATTTGTTTCTGGGCAGTCGGAGTCCGCAAGCGTCGCGGGAAAGCGGACCGCGCAGGAACGAGAGGAATGCTGGTGTTAATGCTTGTGGCAATTAGAGGATTCTGCAGGGATGCTCCGAATATCGGAGCTGAAAGTAATATCGCGCGTTCAATTTAAGTCACGGTAACGTGTGGCTCAAAGGGGCCTCGCGTTCTGGATTCTTACTTTGGCGCGATTCGTTTCGCGCTGGACTTTTTGCACGGATGATTAACGATCGAAGTTTTTAACGTCGTTGGGTGAAAAGATGACAACGCGGAAGGAATTTTCGGGGATAATTTGACTGCTACGCGAATGTTAATTTTCGAATGATTAGGTGACTCGTTTCATTAAAATGAAATTGATTGTGCAGTAATTACGTTGAAGACATAAATGGTAAATCATTTTTCTGAGACATTCTTTGTGAAGTAAATACTACATTTTTATCATTTTATGATATTATATAAAATATGATTTAAGGGGTCCCTGTTCTGAAGTTAAACACACAATTACTTACATTTCTCTTAATATTGGTAACAATGAAACAGTGTACTAATACGAAAATATTATAGATATATGGTCTTTCATTAATCATTTCCACGCTGAAAAGTCACATGATTTGATTGTACGAATAATATTACTGCGAACAGTTTACACTACGTAAATTCAAGAATGAAGCAATAAGTACCTCCACTAGCACGTAACTGCCTATGGCAGAACAATTCGGTAGCTGACTAATTTCCCTAATCATCGGAAGCATCGCGCTGTTCAAATATTGAAAAACCATGTAACTAGAAGCCGCGTACCAGCATCTCGATGGTCAAAAGCATTCGAGAACCGAATATATTAGACGTGGCCGGTTTGGACGCTTCCCGATCATGGAAAAACTTTCACCGGCGCGCTAAAAATACAGACCGCATTATTTCCTCGTTATAAGTCGGCCACGTCGGAGCAGAGACGAAATAAAAGTGTCGACTTATGGTGACACACGAAAATAGCCACAGTAAGATCGCCAGACGTTCAAGCTGTGTTTAATATAAAAATACAATTCTGCGTAGTGGTCCACGCGAATCATAGCGCTCGCGGAACCGTGCACGTGAACCAAGCTTTATGACGATTACGAAAGAGGAAGAGAGAGAAAGAAAGAGAAAGAAGGTGAGGGAGGGGGGGTCAGCATTGCAATCGCGATGCTTACTCTTACGTGGCATATCGAAGTACATAAATAAACGTGCAAAAAGCTCGTTTTCTGTACCTTTCGATTCGGCACAACGCTGTCCGGCAATCGCGCGTCCCCAAATGATTTGTTACGCGCTCTATTCCCATCAATGAAATCATTGAAATATATAAATTCGAAGTTTGCTAAAGCCTTCGTTGATTTTTCATCGATTTCTGAGCAATCGATAGAATCGTTAATGATTTCGCTTTCAATTACATGAATTATCAATCATGTAGATAAAATCATTGCTTGCTACTATTGCTTCTGTTCCTTGACACGTTAAAGGCGGAACTCCTTTTCCTTAGCTTACCAACTTAGGCCGCACGTAAATTAAAAAATTGCGTTTGTACGTAAGCAACGAGCGTAACAGGAAAAATCTGTTTTGTATAGAAAGCTTTCATGAAATTCATTGTAAAGGACATAAACAAATTTTTTAATATCATACGGTTTATAAAATAGTATTTATTAAATTGGATACTGTCTCTAGAAATCGACGCTGTGACCGACCTGTTAAAATATTTGCAATAGAGTAAAGTTATAACGACCGTTGCATTTTCACCGTGCTCAAAGTCGAAGGATCCTCCAAAAGAACCGAAAATCACTGAGATCCGACGATAGAAACAGGAACCGAAAAAAAGGAGACGCCTCACCAAAGAGTAGGATTCGGCGCGATGCTGTTGGTGGTGATCAGCCAGCAGAGATACAGATAACCCCGAATAATTATCGGCGTAACCGCAATCCATCTTTGACGTAACTCGTTATTTCCAAGTAGAACCGGATACGCGGGCCCCCGATACGATCGGGCCGGTTATTTCGACGATTCCCAGAGGTTTCTCGAACCCCGGGACAGCGTTGCGCGGCGTGGCGGCGGGCCCTTTCCTTGTACGCGCTTACGGTTGCAGGTTGCAAAAGAGTACGGAGGCAGGTTTGGGAGAAAAAGGGAGAAGGAACGAGGAGGGCGAAGAGGGAGGAGACAGAGGAGAGGAAGGAGGGTGGGAGAGAAAGAGAAGAAACAGCGAAGCTGGAGGGCTGGCGGTACCAGTAAGGGGGATTCGAGGGAGGAGAAGGTTTCTCGATCGCGAACGAATTCTTCTCACGGTTGCGAGAGCGCAGTTTCGTCGGCGGACGCGTGGGCGGACCGGCGAATAATGCCGGTCTTGTATTTTTAAACCCTCGCACGAATCGGCATCTCCGGGGAGATGCCGGGTCACTCCGCACGTTGCACAGCTCCCGCTGCAGCGCCGCGCGCGCACCTTTCTCTTTTTCTTCCTCTTATTCGGCCCGAAGAGAGGCCTTCTCCGCTCCGTTCCGCACCGCGCCAGCGAAAACGATCTCACGGTCCCCGCGGCCGTACGCGCGCGCGCGCGTACACCCGCTTGGTCCGATCCTCGAATGAATTATCGAGTCTTCCAGAGCGTGGAACGCCGCGTCGGTGACCGCCCGGAGGAAAAAACCCGAGACAGGGGTCCCGCGATATTACCGGCGTTACTTTTCGGTAAGCCGGGGTACGGCCGTGGGAACCGGGGACCAGCTACCGCAATTAGGACCCAGTCCGGCCAGTGCCTCCTTTCCGAAACCGATTTCCACCCTTGTTGCTCGTTTTGCAGACCTGGGCCCTCTCGGTGTACCATGTCGCGTCCCGGAATATTCGCTACACGTATCTTCTTATGTGAGTATATATGTACACTCCTCTCTCGTTCCGCTTATCGGCAATATTCGTTGCCGCTCCCCTTATTTATTATCGCGCGGGAGGAACACGGTCACCGTTCACACGGTATATTATAAGAAATATAAAGGATTGTTATGGTCCGGGGCCTAATTGGACGGAGAGAAAGACACGCGTGTGTCTTTTTCTTTTTTCCTTTTTTTCAGCCAATCGCGTCAACTGTGTTGTTTGGAAGGAAGCAGATGGGGTGGAGGAGAGAGGTGGACGTCGAGGTAAAAAACTCACCTCGTCGAGGGCCATGGAGAAGGCACCTGAAATGGCAAGACCTTGACGGTCCTTCAAACCGCCCTTGATCGCCGTTAAGTATCCGATGGTCAGGTTTTGCTGTTTCCTCGGCTGAATGGCTCTGCCGAAGCTAGATTTCGGATAGATCTGTCTGGAGAGCGCCTGCTGCCACTCGGCCCCGGATAACCCAGGCGGTTCGGCCAGGCCCAGGACCAGAGGGCTGCTGGCCAGCAGCAGCAACACCAGCAGGGCCCGCGAGCTGCTGCTGTTCGGCCGCGGGTGAGGCGGATGCAGTTGATGATGATCTTGCCGGTGCCGTCGATTGCGTTCCTGATGGGGTTCCTGGCGACGGGGAGGCCTGCGGCGGCTCGGCTGTACTGGCGGGCCGGGGCGCATGGCCGCCGCCGCCACCGGTCAGCACCGCCTCCCTCCCGTTCACCTGAAGATTACAATTTTCTTAGACTTTCCAACGAATCTTTGGGAAATTAACTATATCAAAGGTTAATTCTCTCGCGTGAATCCCATTTGGGGACATCTTATGTAGGTAACATGCAACATAACACATTATCATCATCTCCAAATGGAGATCATTGAACGAATGGATAAAAAATATTCTTTTTATCGGTATTTTTTTACATTTCATATACTGTTGATATTTTTATATTAAAATACTGGTTTATTAAAAGGAAGATTACAAAAACTGAATTGATACCGCTTTCTGTTACAATTATTTATAATATAAGTACTGTGTTTGTGTTTGTTATAATAGATGTTACTGTTTGCCAAATGTTCTCAAATAAGTGATTAAAACGCAATGCTATAATTGAATTAAATAATGTCACGGTAAAACGCCAAAAACATTTCGAACCACTAAGGGTTAGCCCTTCATCATAGGTATATACATTAATATTGCATTTATCCCTATATATACTTCCAGCCATATTAATTTATTCTACAAAATAAATCTGCTACTGAATCAATTCTACATGTACTGATATTAAACATCAATGCGTTTCCCCCATAACGTTTCCTAGCAGCGAGACACGCATAGTTCACGTATTTTTAGCTGTTTATCTGTTGGCAATTTTTCTCGATTTTGAAGTGGCATCGCAAAGATACAAGTGCTCGACTTGGAAGTGCCGTTTCGACGTTATCTTCCTGAACTGAACGCACTTATCATCAAGCGGCACTTACTCGCTTGAGTCATCGTGTGTGCCATCTGCGCGAGGCTAATAATAACTGATACCCCTAAAACGATATAACGCTCGTCGGCCGCGCTACGAGCCGATCAACTCTTCTTCTCGTCCCATCGATCCAGATTTTCCGCGTGAGACAATCCCGCTGCGACGGAACATCTGTCCGTTCTCTTGATCAATCGATCCCTCTCGCGTTTCTGCGCCGTCTATCTCGATCTAATCTCCGTAACCTTGCTCTCGGTTGACGCGTTAAAAGTGAGTCAACTCGCAAAGAATCCGACAACAATTGTTCAGCCATTATCTCCTCGATCGGATATCGATGATGTCCAGGAAGTCTTGCATCAGAGGTGTATAGTCATCCACGGGAAAACGCTAAGAATAAACGCGCGGCGAGCCGCCAACGTCGGCCACGAATCGTTTTCCCTACCTATTTTCTGATCTAATTTATTTACATCGGCGCGGCTACATGCGTCAGGCGGGAACACCTCCGGGCACGTGGAATCCGCGCGGCTTCAATCTGTTTCGCGGAAACGCTCTCGGGGAAACAATATCGAGGAAGCGCACACGCACGAGCGCGGCTGTAAATCACGATGACTGAGCTGCCATCCTCCGCGAAACGAAGCATCCGGAAGAATTATAGGACACCGCGGTTTTGAAATATTGTGCAATAATGATTAAGTACATTATCCTTGTGTTTTGTTCTGAACGTTAAATCCAGGAAGTTCGAGAAGAGGTGTAGATTTTTTATAAGTGTGTAAAATTGTTAATCCCTCTATTAAATTGGATTTTGTTGAAATATGCATTGGCAGCTTCAATGGAAAAGCTGCGACCTAGTTTGTATCACAACACAAATGACATAGAAATTCTACAGAAGAGAAGTAAGAAAATTTTCTCTTCAATTCTACTGTAAACGTGAAAGGGAAGATTAAGAAGAGATCCTTACAAAGTTGGAATCTCATTAAACTATACACTGACAGCTTCGATGGAAAACCTTCGTCGACCTACTTTATATCACGACAAGAACACGATAGAAATTCAGTAGAAGAAAAGTAAAACGATTTGTTCTCCAATTCAATTTTAAAATTAATACGACTTCCGATCTGAGCCAAAGATGAACTGAAAATTCGTCGAAAGAGATTTTTGCAGTATCGGTACCAGCCAGGGATCTAATCGAGGCGGCAGTTAGCGGCTTGAGAACCCCTGGACCGTGAAACGCGGCGAGATTGTCGCGTTATTAATACGCGGATAGAAGCGACGCGGCGCGAGACAACAACAATGCCCGATGAAATTTCGCAACGCGGCCGATCCCGGGAAAAATAACGCAGTCGTCTCACGACGCGGAACGATTCCGCGTTCAGGCCTCGAGAAACGCGGCGGTAACACGTGGCCGGGGACACACCTGTTGCGATTACGTAACCGAGACCTGCGGAGCTCCGTAGGCGATTCTCCGGCCGCGCTAGGCCTGTAACGACCTGTGCAACAATAAAGACGTCTTCCCCGCTTGATGCATGGTGTCATTCACCATCCGACTCGCGGAACTTTCAAGTTGTTCCCCTGCGTCTCTCTAATAATAGTTTAATTTCACCTCCACCGCGCAACGCGGCAGCATTTCGTGATTGCACTTGGCTACGACGCATTATTCCGTTGCAATTCATCGATCACTCTACCCGCTCGCCGCGTTTAATCTCATTTTCATTTGAAAAAAGCTGCAGCCTGGGTTAGGTTCGCTCAAGAACGCATTGTGCTCAGTTTTGTAAAAACTTGGAGACTCGGTTTTAACAACAGTCACCGTTCAAAATGCATTTGCGGGATATGATGCAAAGTTTCGTGCGAAACAGGTATCGAGAATAACACTATTGTATGAAACGCTAAGAGATTCTAATGAAAACGCAAATCTCACTGAATTTTGTTAAACGTTTTCATCGATCATTATGCTGAGCTCTGGACAGTCATAAACGTAATTTACAGTCAACTCGTTGCTTTATAGTGTACGAGTTGATTGCAGTTCTTCATTGAAATTTACATCATTTCAGCTGTGAATCGTTAAACTAAGGTAAAGTAGGATGTTATTTCCTGCATTAGCGGCATGAATAGACCACAAACAATACGGGAGTGAATATATTCTGTAAAAGAGTCTCTGTAAATCTTTCTTGGAGATTTTTACAAGCCATAAACGCATAAAAAGCTGACTCTATTTATAAACGCGAGAATTATCCTTTCAATTCTGTCTTTCGTAATTTTAACGACCTATAGGCGATAAAGGCAGATTAATAATAATGGATTTCGGTGGGAATCTCACGGGTAAGCCGCGCGGATTAACGTGACGCGCAAAATGGACGTCTTGGAAGAGGCGTGCGTCTCGTCGCTACGATACTGCTGAACGGAGCGGCACAGGTGACAAACCCTGGCCGTCTACCATGGCATCGTTAAACGACGAGTGGGTCGCGTGACATGACTCGTCCAGTAAGTCTTTGCCGGACTTCATTCGAGGCGCACGTGATTTATATAGACGCCGGATCGGAGGCATTAACGATGTTTACTCGGGGAATTTTAGGCTTCAGGGTCTTCCTTTCGGGCCGTAGATCTTACGAATGGCTCGTCGACGGATGGTATTGCTTTCATCGGTGTCTCCGACGTTCTTTTGCCGACTATCCGTTCTTCGCGAGTGAATCTCGACTCTAAAACCATCTTTCATCAGTAATTCTTTTACAAACCAAATACTCTAGCAGCAAAGAAACAAGAAAAACAAATATTCGAGCCGCCACGGGATAAGAAATTGGAGTTCCCAAAGGAAAACTCCAGCTATTTCGATAAGTTTAGCGACTCGCGCGTCGATTTCGATTCGCGACGTAGCCTGTTGAAAGATTTAATTCACGCGTTCGACGCGAGGCAACACTCTCGTGTCACGTGTTCCGGACATGCTCCGGAGCAATAAAAACTCCTCGAATTTCTAATAAGTAAAGACGAGCCACTAGTCTGTTTCTCAGTCCAGAAAATTGATACCTCTTTCTTTTTTACATTCGATCTTCTGTGGTTCAAGAGTATATCTTTGTCGGCTCATTTTTAGAGATTCTGTCCTTGGTTTCTAATCTTCACTGAGTAATGGAAAAATTGTATCGACAGACTGTGCACACATCTTCTTTCTTTGGTCGAAGCGTGTCGGTACCGTTGTCAAACGGGGGAACAAAGTTTCGTAAATGGTGTCGCGCCCATATTTACCGGCAAAGATCGTATTTCTCGAATCGGGTTAGCTCGTAGCGCTGAAACGATCGGAAACGACTCGCCTAGATGGCAAACGACGTCGGTACAGTTAAGACATCGAGGTAATTTCAAGTTAACAGCGACTCTCGAAAGCGAGCAGATTAAATTGGAGCCGTTCGTTGGTGAGTTTGAAAGTCACTGACCGATCTCGGTGTCTGGCGTTTGGTAACCGAAAAGAACTTTCTATGAACTGGCTCGTTATACAGACGAATTTTTTTTCACTCCGCGCGAAGCGATACTTCCACCAGCGAGTTCAAAAGCAAACAGGGACCTCTTTAACGCGGGCCTGATACGTAAAGCAAATTCAGGCCGATAATGTGCTAAGAATAGCTGGCGTTTATCGGGCCCGCGTTATTCGTTGACGCGGCTACCTTTGATCCTTTCGGATAAATCACTCTTCAACGATAAGTCCGCGAATCTTCGGAGATTCTTTACAGATTCATGCGAACTCTGAGTTTTGGGATCGAAAAATATATAAAATGTATAGTACGATTCTTACATTCGAAACAACGATTGTTAGATTATTTGTGAAGCATCTATAGTTGATAAAACATTAGAGATAATAGACGAATCAGAATAATTCAAAATTTTAGTTTTAATAGTTGAATTCTAACGAAACTATGAACGTAAGAAATTACGAAATAATTTATGAGAAATTACAACCTGATCACTTTACCTAATCAGTACTTCTAGCATTACCTTTCAGTGTCTCAGAAATATAAATATTCTCAAATTCATCATACAAAATCGAAATACTTATTGTCAGTACTTCATATCTGATCACCAATATTCCCTACGAAACTAAATAACATTCGATCAAAATAATACATTTGCTTGAGTAAACATCATGTGAAAAAAGTTTCATAAAATATCAGTAGTACGTGATACGTTTTTTCATCGAAGGGTCACGAATCGTCAGCATCCACGTGACTGTGTCACGGAGATCGAGAAACTGTTGGACAAGTTTCAGTCAACGGACCAC